TATTATATTTCTTGTCATGTAAATAGTTTCACGTCTAGTAGGTAGCATTTTCACAAAGGAGTGATTTTTTCTTCTTTCTTGGTTTCTTTATTTATTTGACAGTTTTAGCAAAATTTTTCTTAGCTACAAAATAGGTATCTGAATTAATTGTCATTTGAATATATATGTTATATAAACATTCATTGTGTATTTACTTAAACCTTTCAATAAAGCGTTGGAAAGGAAAAATCGTATTTTTCGGAGTCCACCTTTATGATGTCATTGACAAAAACCAATTGAGTGAATAAAATTTCCCTTCAATCGGTCGAGGACAACTGGTTCTAAATTTAAATCCAAAATTCTCCGTATACAAAGTGTTCAAATCAAAGTTTTGTAGAAATAAAACAAAAATCTTTATAGGTATATTGGGTAATTGATCACCGTCACTTCTTTCATTAGAAATCAACAATAAATAAGTAAAACTCAATTGTCTCTTCTATATTAAATATAACAAATCTCCTTCGCTTTTTCTTAGCGGAAAAAAAAATATGATACATAAATTGTATCGAAAAAATAACTCGGTGAAAATACAAAAGCTTTTTCTTCTAGCAGGCAGTTGTATGTCGTGTCGAACAGTAATCGTGCCAGCAACATTAGCGGCGTGGAAATTATATGAGGTTAACATGCGATTTGAAATATTTGTATCCGACATACCTTGAGAAAATGTATTTTCATAAGAATTCCTAAGTACTACATTATTAACTAGGTATTACATTTCAAAGATTATGTGTGTTAAGTTAGCATTAACCTTTAAATAAAAAAAAATGATTGTTAAAAAAAAGAAGTAAGTAGGTAGTTACATGAAAGTATTTGTCCTTCGCGGTGACATTTATGAAACATCAAGTACCAAAAAGTACGTTTTTAAATTATTCATATTCTTTTATCTCGACAATAAATGGTGTTTTTAAGAAGTCAAACTGCATAAAACCTGCATTTAAGACAAAAACTTCATATTTTACGATCACACAGATTAGTACCTTAACTTTTTGTATTATGCAATATTTTAGCATGGAACGACATCAGGTATTACTGTGGGACGAGACTTATATACCGCATGTCTTCATATCTAAAAGTGCATCGTTGCATCCGCCGGTTACGACTGCACGCAAAAGATCCTTGATATTTTGTTCTAAGAAATGACAGGGCATTGCACTGACTGTTTTTTTTGTATTACCTTATGTGCATATGGTAATATAAGTTAAGAAAAAATGTAATGCTTGACATAGTAACTCGATGAATTCTTCAAAGAGTAACAAAAATAATATTATTATGTTTCATCAATTTTGCATTCATAATGCTATCTTGGAAAGTATTCTCAATGAAAACTGCTTAAAAATCAAACTCGTTTAGGTCCTGGATAGCTCAGTCGGTATAGCAGTCACCCGGATTGCTAAAAGTCGTGGGTCGAGTCCCATTAGTACCTAGGGTTAGTGAATTTTTTAAGCTTTTCATTAAGAAAAATAATACTGATAATATAGCTATAAACAGTACCTATTTTCCTACACGATATGTGTTATGTTAATCATTTTTATAATAACTTTGGAAAACAATTCCGTAGGAAAAAAATACCGAGCAAATAAATAATGATTTATTCATGAAAATGAATTAATTTGTCCAAGTGGAAAAACGAGGACGCTCGCAAATCCACTCCTGGATTCATTGGAGCCCCGTAAATATTTTATAGCCCTTGAAGAAAAAAAAATACGCGAACAAATTACTGAGAAATATTGGGAACACTTTTCAATCTTATTCCTTAAGTGGTACAAACGATAAAAATAAATACAGCGCTTAGTGGGCATTTATTGCTGAGATTTCTAGAGCTCAATGGGCGTACGCACTCTCCTTTCTAATGGAGTGGGGTGGAAGGCGACGATTTTAGTATTGCATGATAATGAATTATGTGTGGTTATATGGAAAATAATTTTGACAATATACTATGTGTTCACTTTTCTAAAAACATAAGTGAATTCATATTAATCAGTGTGTTGACTTACGCGATTCGTTTTTATATGCGAACTTTTTGAGCGATTAGATTATTATTAAAATGAATTCAATGTTACTTATTTTTGATTTTTTTTTGGAATGCTTTACTCAGTTTAAAGTAAAATAAATAAAAGGTTTAAGTAGTTCATTAATATATCAATATAGTTCGTTTGCGTAGAACGCTTAGTTTGTATGTAAATTCGCTATAAGTTTTTTACGAGCACCGTCCAATCGAAATTAAATGAAGCTGTCCCGACCGAAATAAAAGCGGTCGACATCATTATCAAAGGGGCTGTCATCGGTGTGACAATTTATCTAATTTATGGCACCAATTTAAAACGAATAAGCGCGGTGACCATCGGCCATTTTGTATTTTTAATCTCCACTTGCCTACAAAGATAAATCGTGGGATTAAGCTTTAAGTTTGGTGGTATGTTTATTTCTATTTTAAATTGATTTGTGTGTTAATCTTTGACATTAAATGAGTTTAATATATGCTAGTTTAATAACTGAAGCAAAGATTTATTATTTTGGTGTTAATACCAATGATAATTTTCTTCCTACAGATTTTTGCAAAATCAGTTCAGAGAATTTTTCAAAATCAATACATAATGACCTTTGTATTTAGAAGTAAGTTTATGTTATTGCGAGTTATTTTTAGTATTAAAAAGAAATATATAAAGTCATTCATTAAAAAAATCTATAAAATTATTCTAAAAGTTAATTACAAATGTAGAGATATTACTGATAGATGAAAAAAGTGACCAAACCAAATGTCTGATGTGAAAACAAAACTCCATTTGTTCCATTATGTGTCATACGCTACAATGTAACACAAAGGGACATTATATCAACTTGAAAATATGCGTTATAAAATTACAAGATTGTTCCAGTTAATAAATTTTCTTTACAAATGTAACTTATACATGATATGACCTACCTCACACTGGTGTGTATTGTGAAAAAAAAGAATAAATAAAGTTCGTTTCTTTTATTTTTATAACGTTGTTAAAAATAAATTATAACTAGTCACATATGTAATAAATATGTGTCTAGTTATAATTTATTGTGGTTATTTTTCTACGACATTACAATGTAGGAACGAGTGAATGTAGGTTCTCGTATTATACACAATTGTTCTTTGTAAAGGAATACTTTACAAAAAGTTTATGTGATTTCATTTTATTAGAAACTTAAGCGTTGCCTACACAAAGACGAATAAATCTTAATGTGCATATTTGTTTTGTAAATGATTATAATTTCATTTACTTAAGTCACTATTAAATTGATGATTTTTAATTCAGCCATTGAACTCTACTCAAATTCTTCCTTCGCGAGCTTTATAAATGGTTTTTTTTTTGTGTCAGGTTAATTATTATTTTGTTATTTAAAGAAATATTATGTATGAATAATAAAACGATTTACAAAAGCCCGATATATTAACAGAAAACCGAGATAATATGACACAACCAACGAGACGAAGGAAGTATATATTCACTTTTAAATATTAATGCGTGTACGTTTTTCTGATCACGTTTAAGCATCTAAAGAGTTTCTTGTAGATATTGATTTAGGCACTTTAGATTTTTTAAATTGTGTTACTGTTTATCAATTATTATTACTTTATATGACTATTTGATGACAAAATCAATTGTCTTTGTTAAAAAATATTAGAAACGAAAAAGAATGAACGAATTCAAAGTCAAGTTGCAGTCTTTCGCAAGTTGGGTGACAATTCCTACCGTGTAATTTGTCAACACTAACGTTATTATAATACTAGCTATTGTCTTGCGACTTCGGTCGCGTAAGAATAAAATTATAGAGTATCCCGAGTATGACGTAGATTTTCTTAAGTAAAATAATTTTTAAAATCAGCCTTGTCATTCTGTAAAAATCCAGAACCGAATTTGAATTCACTCATTCGGACACATGAGTGAATTCATGTCATTTAGTAGATATAGACATTCTATAGATTCCATTTTTTGTATAAAATACATAACAAAATTGATTGAATATACGTGTCTCACAGCCTGTTGTACAAACTTCCATTAAAATTTCATTAGTTTAAAGCGACATTACCCATACAATTTTGACATTCATTAGAGCTTAAAGGCGTCATTAAACCTTAATTGACGTTTGTGCAACTGGCCGAAAGATATTCTATTTCTATATAATTTCGAAACTCACTTCGCTTATGCCACGAAACGTTATTAATGGCGCTTTTTGTAGTTCGGATATCTGAGTGAATTCGAATTCTTATTCGGATTTTTACAGAACAGCATGGCAGTCCAAGTAATTTCAGAGCCTGCTTAAAGCAAATAAAAAACAAATATTTCCTATTTAGATATAGTCGAATTATAAGCATCGACAATTTCTGCCTAATCTTACTAGATGTGCAGTTCCATATGGATATGGACCATTATAAGATGTATTGTGTCTCCCCACTAGCAATATAGTAGCTGTTTAGCCTAATAGCTTTTAAAAGTCTACGATGTTCATAGCTTTCAAAACTTAATATTTTTTGAGCTGATTATATATTACGTGGTTTGAGAATCAATAATCTATATTCGTAAACGAGATATTTCGATGTTTTACGGTTTTGTTTACGAATTTGAAAACATTTGTGCTTAATTACATGTTAAATTGGTCGAGGTTCGTACAATCGCATGGGTAAAGTAAAAGGTAAAGTTCGAAAGCTCTGCATTTAGTGTCTTGCCTTAAACTTACGATAGATTATTTAGTGGAGAAGTGGGGGTTCGCTATATTACAACTGTGTAGAAAATGTGCAAAGGTCATCATGCGACATTTCAACTTAATGTAGCGCTATGATTATAAAAAAAATAAAAGTCATATATAATATTTTTCAATAACCTACCTGACAGAGAGACAAATATTAGTAATAATCCCTACTATATTAAATTTAAGAAATTGCTTAATTAAAAATATTAATTTTCTATCCATTTTTTTTTTTGTTTCAGGCGTGTTGCAAGTAAGGTTCGAGCGCGGATCTACGCGGTCGGCCTTACTAACAGGTGAGGCGGCGACGCCACACAGAACATGATACTAAGGTTTGAATTCATACTTTATTTTATGTTACATAAGTTTTAAACTGTCTCAGCAAAAGAATCCCATTACAAATCCGAATTAACACTCCATCTCCTTTAAAATAGAATCAAGCAAGGGAGACAGGATATTTTTTATTTATTCTGCCTATATCATTAGTTATATACAAGTAAGGTGTAAATGACGGTTGAGATCTGTATCTTGTCAATTTTTACTCTCCATGCATTTATTAAAAGGTAACCTGCTGGTTTTTGTATTAATTGATGTCAAAATATATTTAACTACTGTGTGATATATAGTCCTGAAATGGCTCATTTAACTTAATTATTTGGAGTTATGAATTAATTATACCGGTTTTAATTGAGCAGCGGATTCAAAGTATACCTACCTTGTTATAATATTTATATGAAAATTATAAAACATTTTTTTTTGTAATTTTTTCATTTATAGAATAGTCTCATGGATAATATTATATAAAAGGTTTATATCGGTGATAATTTATAAAACGGTTGGAGGTCTAAAAAGGAAATGGCATTATTTATAGTTTATATGACGGTGGTCTAAAATTACATAATGTGTATACACGCCATAACTACTCCTTTAAATTTTTGGTCACGTTCGATAGTGTTTACATATTTAGTACATCGACGTTCTTCTTTCACATCAATTGGTATTGAAGGTCAAATTACAGATAAAACTGTTAGCTAAGTATAAATTGAATCAAACTGGCTGAAATTTTGAAAAAAAGAAAATCATAGAATGTGTTTGCTACTTGTTCTTTTTTTTAATTCCAACGAGTAGATTTTATACGTAAGGTTGGTATTGATACCTAAAGAAATGAACCCATTAATGAATAAAGATTTAAATATAATTTCAAAAAAATATTCTTTAACTTATCAAAATATATTATACTTTATGATTTCAATTAATGGAAAATCTTCACACACCTCTCGTTTACAATGTTGTATATATAAAAAAATACATTCATGTCACAACAATGTTGCAACATTCATATAAAAAGGGCGAAGCTTTAATCTGACGGCAAAAAATGGCGACCTTTCGGAGAAACGGACAGCCATTTTGTAACAAAATCACCTGATATAATTTCTTGTCAACTAAGTTTTTATGATCGGTCGAAAAGAAACGAAACTTTTGCATGCTATGTATGATTTCTTAACAACATCAAACATTTTTTTTTGATATTTTTAGTTGACACCGAATTTATTACTACGATGAATAACGTAGAAGCAAACTTGTAACATAACAGCTACACGCAGATAATTCCGCATCGACAATGTCTAAAAGTCACGGAAAATACTGAGCTTCCCAATGAAATCTTTTCCGTTCTAAATTGGAACTAGAATTAGCATAGGTATTGCATAATAAACCCTGATATTCTGTACCATCATGGAACAATTCCACGCAAATGATATTCGGGATCGGTGCTCGGTACCTATACATTTTAATTCGGTGATCGAACTTTAATATCGGTTGCGTCGATCTATTCCGGGCGGGATTACGAATCACAATGCGTGTCCTTGGAGATAACATCGGCTCTATGGGAACTCATTGAATACTAAGTGTGAAGACCACCGGCTGTCTGAAAAAGAAGGTACTAGTTAGTGGAGTGAAGCTCTAAGTAGTGACAGTATTAGACAAAATATGTTACAATGAAAAAAAAGAAAAAGAATGTAGTTGACAGCGTTCTTTTAATTCATTTGTTTATTCAAGAAAAAGTTTTAATTAGTATTTAAATAAAACCTTTTTTCTTAGTGTGTAGAGAAAATTTAATGGAATCAAGTACATTATTATATCGCTATATCTATATAATTTTAGAGTATGACTTAAGATATGAAAATGTCACCGTGAATTCTAACGTAGATAATAGCGAACCTTCTTTAGAATTGCAAATGAATCGGCCGTTTACTTTGAATCGTAAACCCGGGATATGATCCAGTCAGTTTTCGCGCCATTAACCTTCTGGACCTCCCCCCACTCCCTAGCTGTTGTTCACGTTATTACAAATATTGTTGGTGTCTACGCAAATATTATGTATATTATATGCCGACTTGTCACCCTTAGGATAACTTTGTTTTTGTTGTAAATATCCTAAGCTTGTTATTTCTATTTTCTTAAAGCATTTGCTACGCTAAAACCTAAAATATGATATTTATTTACTAAGAGAGGAGAGGATGGCTTATATTAAAGTATTCTAAAACACATCTCATTAGATTGCTCGGATTAAAATGATAATTATGTTATCGTACTAGTGCACTGTTCGTTTGTGCATCCAACCGTGGGAGTGGGAGTGACATTCTAACAGAACATACTCGTGGTTAAGATAACACAACTTGACAGCTTGTAATAATGTCCAAACTCGTCCTATCATCAGTGCTATTGAAATGCGGAACCCACCAAACTAACTAGATCTCTTGCGCTCACTCTGACATGCCGCGTTGATTTGATTACAGATTGAGTAGAAGGTGGTGGGGTGGTCCTAATTAAGCTGGTGGCACATACCCGTTCGGCCAGCGGCGGCCTATGCTTTAGGATTGAGTCGTAAATGTCAAATGGAGTGGCCTCAGCCATCGTTCTGCTGCTCTATTTACTCGCACTTTAAGTAGAAAAAAAAAAACTAGACGCCCGGATTACGATTCCTGATGGAAGTTTCGAGATGGAATGGAATAAAGTTAGATGAGAAACGAAGTTCTTGATGTGATGGCTCAAGTTTCTCGACGGATTTTGTCCTAATCCCGTTTGATAGATGCCTTAACGATACATATACAAATGTATGTATTATATAATGTTGGAATATTAATTAATTTCAAGGCATGAAAGCTCCAAATAAATGTTTTATTTGTGTCAAATAGGTAAGTATTTCTCTATTATATCCATCAAACAATGCTCAAAAACAAGTATAAGCATTTGCTTTTCTAATGTATTGTGAGAGATATCTAGTATTCACAAGTACATACATATAAACATAATAACATTGCATTACAAGCATTAAATATGATATATTTGCATGTTATTTCATGTAGATCGCTAGTTTCATGCCATCGGGGTGTGTTTCTACAAAATTGGCACTGCTCCAATAGTAAATTGGATGTAGTAGGTATACATTACCCTCCAAACAAATACCGCTAGCGACGCTCATTGGTTCAATTCATTTAAGTTGAGAAGAGATTTTTATTAGGAAATGTTTTATATTAATAATAATACCTTACAATAAATTGAAAAGTCCAGATTGAAAATATAAAAAAATATGCGAAATTATCTATACAATTACAATAATTTTCTTTTTTATTATTATCAAATTGTGATTTTCTTTTGATATACGAGTGTTATGCGTTCCTTTTTTTAGATTTAAAATGTTTCAATAAATAATATATTGTGTATCAATTTTAATTTAAAACCATAGTGATGGTGTTGTCAATCGTAGCTTCTCATTCTGTTAGTATTGTTATTATCTACTAGCTTTCGCCAGCGGCTTCGCCCGTGTGGACCCTAGGGAAATGTCAAGTGGGACAAAAAGTTATCTAAGTCAGCTAATATCCTATCTGTATACTAAATTTCATAAAAATCCGTTCAGTATTTATAGTAGTATAATATTATTATATATTATTATAGTATTAATATATAGTATTTCTAATATTACATAATAATGGGATATGTAAAAAGTAATCGATTTTTATTTACACCAGTCATTGTCCGTAATTTTACTGATAACAACAACTTTATTCTTTAATTGGGTAAATTATACATAGATACAAATACCAACAGTTTTAAAACAATAGCAACACATAAACAATAGCTATAATCAAATTAATGTCAAAGTGACAGCTAACTGACAGATACGTTTGTAATAATGAAAATTAAAATAAAATAATTCATCGCGGAAAAAAAAATTGTATCTTGGTATATTTCTGTGTGGACCATGGTAGTCAATTCCTGTGTATCTTAGCAAACAAACAAAAAAAAACTTTAAATAAAGTAAATAAATCACGAAAATTTACGCTTAAATTAAAAAAAGGAAAACGTTTTAATTATTTATATATTTAACATTTACAAGTACTGTATAAAATCAATCATCACACAGTAATACAAATTGTTATGTAACACAAAACAGCCAACGATTGAAAACACAAAAAGAAAAAGCTTGTAAACACATATTTTTTGTATCCAACGAAAGTGGGAGCGATCCCTCGCTCGGCACGAAAAAACCGAAGCGTTCAAATCATCTATTTTATGTAAAATCCGTGACTCTCCACCGTGTCGAATGACTTAGAAGGATTTATTTATAATTCTATTACAGACTGAAGTAGAAAATCACGGGTAAACTCAATGGGAAAGTCTCAGCATTTAAAAATAAACTAGATATCTGCGTACGTGAGCCAAACTCCAAATGATTTAGGCCGAATTCCAGTGGCTTGTTAGATACGTCATAGTCAGTTGGTTCGCAGACGATACCATCTTATAAGTTATAAAACCGGAGTACCTTTTTATATCAAATTAAATTATCAATCAAATGCTATAGAACAAAGTATTATCGATTCCGGATTTTCTGGAGAATTCATTTAATTAAAAAATCACGTTTGTTGTATGGGAGACCTCTTAAATATTTATTTGATTCTGGTTTTCAGTATTTGTTGTTAAATCGGTAACAGAAATACATCATCTGTGAAAAGTTCAACTGTCTACCTTTCATGGTTCATGAAATACAGCCTGGTGATCGACAGACAGCTAAGTCTTAGTAATAGGGTTCCCGTTTTACCCTTTGGAACACTAAATAATATGTCAATTGCTTTCAAATGGTACTTATAAACGCATAGCAATAAATTTATAAATAAGTAAATGTCTTAAGTTATTCTATAACCTAAGATATTATCTTAAGACCTTCATAATCGACTTAATCAATAAAATAATGTGGAGCTACATTAACTACTAAACAGCCGTCCAATGAGGTTTTTACAACTTACTGATTGGACCCACCTGACTCCGCTATAACGTTACCTATTGCAACATAACAATATTTCAGTGTGCCACCGTGGAATTATGTTGAAAATGTGTATAATTTGTTCGCAGGTTGCCGTGCCCTTTCACACAGACATCCCTAGCCAGTTTACGACAAGGTGAATATAATTTTATATTGTCTCCATTTATTTATTGTCATAATTTATATACATCCTGTTGGATATTGAACTGATATTTGTGTTACTACGTCACATTTCTTTTATCCCTAATTAATACCAGTTTACGACTATACTTTTAATTTTAAATTATTAGACCTTTTACATGCCAGTGCTAAAGTAACAAGACTTTCTTTTTATAACTAAATGGTTCTTCAATGCTAGTCCTATTGCTATTCATATTCCTATTTAATTGTAATATCTTAAATAATTGACACAGTAAACTATTTATAAAGTAAAATAATGCTTATTCTTAATGAAAAATGTTAAAAAATCCACTTTGTTTAAGAAAATTTTTCAGTAAAGCGTTGTGAACGGAAAATTTATAAAATATAAGAAGAAAAATAATTTTATCGGAAATATGTATTTCTCTACATGGATCGTATGACAGAGAATAGTCCTCCAACCTATTACTTATCATATTCCATTTTAAGCTACTACGATTCAGATCTTCGAGATAAATAAGATAAAACATTTTCGAACGGTTAATGAAATTGTTCAGTGTCTCGTATTCATAATTTAAGGCAAGCTCTTAACCTCGTTACAATCTCGATATTATCACAGGATCGATAATAAGAGTTCGAACGGCGGTGTACCGTTTTATATGTAAAATACCGTTTATTTTAAACAGTTTCGATAGGATTCCGGTTTTCGAGTTTTCAGGTTAATTATATTATTTACGTTTTTTATATACATACACGACAACTATAACTTGTTTGAGAATTAATGAGTCTAAAAGTCTCGAAATGGTAGTTAAAAAAGAATATTCCTTGTATTGATTCCTGTATTTAAGAAGTATGTACATTTTAACAAAGAAAATAAAAAGATAAGATAGATATTAATTTTGTAATACAAATGTATTTCAAAACAAATAGTTACGCAAAATAGACTTTTATATAGAATCTTGAGATACAAAATTCATCTAATGTAATATAATCTAATCTTCACTGATATCATAAAGAGATATTTTTTTAACTTGGTTTCTTTGTTATCTTCGGAAATACTTAACCGATTATGAAAATTCTTTCACCTTCGTGAAGCTACATCATACGCGGGTAATATAAGCTATAATTTACGCGGGCAAAGAAGTAAAAAAACAGCCATTTATCTACAAAACTGGTAGAAGTAAAGCAGAGACTAGCATTATTATTTTACTCGATGCATTGAATTGATAAAACAGAATAGAAGGTGAGCAACATAATATTTAATATCAAAACAAGTTTTTTCATTGACTTTTTTTTTATAAAAAGAAAGGAAATTTAATCTCACATGAAGTGACGCCAGTAAAACATATAATCTTACACAGGACCAATTCGAATCGTTGCGTTTGCGCAACCCACACATGTTCGAGATAAGAAAGCATGGTTTTATTTACGCCAATGTATGTAGACGACCATTGGCCCGGCCTAACGTAAATATTTATAGACGGACGGACACTTGTTCCTATGTTTGAAGCTGTCATTCAACGCGTATGAAGCCAGACTGTTCTGGTGTTTTGTTTTCTTTTTCTTGTACAAATAACAGTTTAAAAGCTGGACTGGAAAATAATGTTAAATACACTATTATCGATAATTTAGCGTGACTGTAGATTAAATTAAAGATTATTCTTTGAGGTGATTGTGTAATAAGAAAGAAAGACGAAAGATGTAATAAGGAAGAAAGACAGACAGCAATAGAAAATAATAATGTTAATAGAAAAAAAGACAACAGTGAATAGGTTCCTTGTGGATAAATTCGTCCCATTCATGTCTTTGGGCTAGATTGAGGTCAAGAGTGAACCCACCATATATTAAATAAAATATGTATAAAAAAATATCTAAAGAAGCTGCCAAAATTGTTGTCAACAGACACTATTTCTTTCATCTAGCTAACTTCACGCTGGTTCCTTTGTGGAGTAGGGCTGAATATAACTGAGTACTACAAGAAACAGTCTTTTATTATTAATATATTGTATAACATAATATTCAATTTCAAATTGAAGTAGCCTCTATCACTTATAATATGTTAATTCTGAAACAAATTAAAGTCCCAGATCCGAGACAATATAAGAACGAACGACAATATAAGAAAACGACTTGGAATCAAATCTGGGACCATCATTTTTATTTCTTTTATCAAAAACTGTTTCTTATCATCACATCTTACTGTTTTCAAAATTAAATATAATGGCAATATCACAACCGAGATTCAGTATATATTGAAAATAAATCCCTGTAAATACGTTTACTCTCTTCTTTTAAATAGTTTTATCAATTTTCAATATTTTTGGTTTAATGTATCACTTTGTAATTATGTATTTATCAAGATTTTTATTTAAATAAGTACAAAACTGATATTTTTTTACTACCCAAGTTAAATCCTTTATGTAAAAACCCGCTTCTAAATAATATTATCATTGAAAATTTTCTACGTGAATATAGCGAAATCGTCCATCACATTACAATAGACGAGAAATACTCTAATCCCAGTTATTAGCTATGTTAACACGTCGACAGACAACTAAATTTATTGCGAAACCTTTCTTATTATACAATCACCTCAAAGAATACGTGTGGGAAATTAGAAATCGTTGCTTGACACTTTGTATTTATTTTGACAATTCGGTTGCATTAACATAATTGCCAAAGCTCACCCTATTAATAAGACTGCAAGAGTTATTTGTCAAGTTATATATGTTTTTACTTTTGTTCAATTGATATATTTTATGGTTGTTCCTTGTGTAAACATAACGTCTATAGGTGTGAAATGTTGTAAGCAGATTTATAACATGTTTGCATTGTCTGCTTCGAGACGGTAAGACCAAAAGGGTGGCTCGAGGGGATGTATTGTTGAATAGCCCATGTCTGTTATGTTGAAAAACATTACATCTATTAAGTAACAGTCTAGATGTAGAAAACACTAATGACTTAGTATAAGTCATTAAACTCCTAAAACTAAAACGTGAACCATTCCAATTCCGACCTTGCCATTGAAAAATGAAATTATATAATTTAATCTAGTACTAGCATTATTTGTGGTGAAATTAACAGACGATAAAATTAAGTTTTATACTCACAATAAAATGTGAGTGAGTTGCCGTCATAAAGTCTCGCGTTTTTTATTGGTGGCAACTCGGCGATGGGTGAGTGACGCTTGCAGTTTGGTTAAACGGCAGTTTATGGCTATTTTGCCTCCATTAATCGCTTTACTACGCACCCGAGCCTCCGCTTTCGACAACCCTTCATACCGGTACTTTGATATACCTATTAACAAGTTGTTTCGTGTCGGTAATCAGTACACGCAAAATACGATTGCTTCAAACTGAAATTTTTTTTTGTGGTAATTGTCTATGAATTTGAGTAAAAGATAAGGTTTTTTGCATTAGTATAGTAGATAATGAAAATCGTTAAAAATGTAGAGATTATAATGTAGAGAAAACTTTGGATAAGGTAATAACAAAAATACAAAATAAATCATCTATAAAACAGGTCAATTCTGTTAATATAGTGGATAGAAATAGTATTAAGCGTGTGTGAATATTGGAATGGGCGCCCGGTTAGCCCGCCCGCCTACGAGTCCGTCAGTTTTCGAAGGGTCGAGGTTCTGCCGCCCGTCGCTAGATGGCCGACCGCGCACTAGTGTGCGCCGTCACACTGCTGTACGTCGTCACCACTCCGCGCTCGACCGCGCTGCCGATAGCGCGCTTCGCGTTTCGCTCCTCAGCGCATAAACACTACACGTTCGTGACAACAACTCGTCGGCTAACAATCGTCTAACAAAAATAATAAAAACTGTTGCACCAATCCCTTGAAAAAAATCAAGAAAATAAATAGATTCTTTTTCGATGTTAACTATTTACTGACGTAAACATTAAAATAAAACTCGGAAACTATTTCAAAATAAAAAGGACTTGATTTTATCGAGGTTACGAGCTTATCATATCAGTGACTATTCGAGCGAACTCTACGACCGTCTTAAAACAAATCACCGGCCTGTTTTTCTGGACAGTACCTGTGGCCGTCATCCGGTGGGCTAGCTAAATCGGGACTCGCGTTTAATTTTCATGTGCCGCTGCGGTGTGGACGCGTGTGTGCGCGGTGCGATGTGCCCGCGGCGCGCGTGAACCGGCCCGTGACGTTCCCGCTCCCCCGTGGCTTGCCCGGCCGCCACCCTGTACCCTGACAACCATGTCGGGGGCCTCGGCGCGCCCTGCGACGCGGCTGCCGCGTCGCCAGCGCCCGCATCCGGCCACTCCACCGGGCCGGCCTGGTGGACCATGATGAACGGGGTCGGCGGCGCGCTGTACGAGGAAGCGCACGCGTCGCCACCCGGCGGCTCACCACCAGCCGCGCCCGCCGCAGCACCACCTTCCGCATCCAGCGCATCGCCGGCCTCAGTGGGCTCCAACCCTCCACAGGCGCCCTTGCACATTCCGGCTAAGCGCTATGAACCTGAGCCGGGAGTCATTCGGCACGCGCAGCAACCGTGGGGCTACCCACCTGATGCGCCGCCCTCCTTCGAGTATCAATACCCCACCGCGCCAACCTACCACAATTTGCCAGTTGAAAGGGAGCGTAAGTCGACGTTACCCTTCTGGCCGACTAGTGGAGGCGACTATAAACCGTATGCGGACGGTGGCTGTCATCAAGGTTTCTCACAGCCTTGCTGGAACTACGCATACGGTGCACCACGTGGAGACCAGTCCTTACCCTACGTCGGTGGTGACGAACGCCGGACGGCAGTATCCGAAGCCTCCAGCTTCTCCCACGATGCATATGGCCTGCGGAACTATGCACCCGAGACGGTGCCCACTGGGCCCTACCCGCCTCCAGGCTCTCTGCCAGGTCAGTAACATTATTTTATATTAACAACACTCATCAAACTTAGCATTCACGCTTTACGTCCGGTCCCGGAGTCTGTTTGTAATCTTTAAGCCGAACTTATCGGTCAGTCCAAACACAGTCTGACAAAACATTTTTCAGAATTTATAAACAAATATACAATGATCGAGAGTGCTAAGTTTTATGTGTGTAAGTAATATATGGCTATTTTATTTTTACAGGCAGTACATAAATGTCAAACTAAGATTGATAAAGTTGATTTGCAAGTAATTTATTATGAGTTTGTCAGCCTTGACCCATTGTTCTGCTGCTCGCCGCTAGATGGCGTTGGTCGGCGCACACTTTGGTCAAAGTTCGGTCTCGATGGTGTGTGAGTTTGCACGCACACACCGACACGCTATATCTGTGGGGGTGTCGCATCGTTTCTTCGATGCATAAACTGCAGTTCTGCATTGTTTCATACTAAATATTTTTCCCATTGGAGTCGGGACCGTTTCATGAAACACGAAATATTTTTTTTTATAATATGTCACTGATTCCTTATTTTGGGAAAATCACCTATTATCTCATATCAATATGAGACTTTATACAATATTACAATTTAGAAATGAATTACTATGGAGAACTAGTAGGTTATTCTTTTTAGTGTATTACAAACCAATATTACAAAAAGCAAAGAGTTAATAGAACAAAACAAAATCAATATTATCTCCAACTCGTCAGTCGTAGCTATCGACCAAAATCCCAAATCAAAACGTTTACCCACAGACCACCATAAATTTGATGAATGAACGAAACACGTGCTACAAATGTTTAAAAACGTACCGTAAGCACCTTTTTATAGGCAATGTAAAACGCCGCCGTACAACCGACAATAAATTAAACTTTACGTAAAATAAAGCGCCAATAAAAATGTATAACTAATAAATAAACACTACCTGAGCGTTAAGACAATAAAGTGATCTTTGAGTAGTAGCAATAAACAAAATATTGCCATAATAAACACATTATAGGTTGATGAGCATATAAAAAAATAAAACTAGATTGGAGTCTAAGTAGCCAGTCTTCACTATAATGTCGTCAGAAGATACATATCACTTTTATGAATCATAAAACTGCGTCGACGTCACAGACTTGCAATCGTTTTTTCCCTAAATCGCGGTAGTGAGTTGTAATTACGCCACTACAAGAGCCATGCCAATAAAAGTCTTCATTCATAAACGCTAGTTCGCTTTCGATAGCCGTTTAGTCATAAAGATGGGTTTATCGTACCTCTGTTACGGTGGAAGGTGTAACTTGACATAATTTTGCGTAAAACGCGAATATAACGACCCATTAAAAGGAAACAATTGTTGAAAAAGTTATATGAATGTTCACGTCACTTTATGATTGTATGTTTATGGCTCACTTGAGGTTGACATTGACTTTGATTTAAGCATTTACGGGCTAGTAAATAGCGTTGTGGAGAATAGTAATTTCGGGTTACGATTAAAAAAAAAAATCGCTTCAATTCTCTTTGAGTGAGGTAAATAAGTTGAAACAATAAGATACGTGTCATTTAAAAGAATAATGTTCTGTTATTATGGTGAATTTACGAATCAAATAATGTATTCTAAAGATGAAAAATCTAATTTCGTACATTTTCAACCTTAAGCCTATTGATATACGCTAAAGATGACTGCATATGGATTCCCAAAGAATGTTTACAGTAGCTAGACAATGGCCGCGGTCGGGTAGGTAAAGTTTTATGGTCGAGAGGAACCCGCACTTTTATTGCCATTGATCGCTACCTATCCGCTCATAATTGACAACTCGACTTGTCATTATGTTCTCTTTAAACAATTGCAGATACCGTCAATAGTAAAAGATATATGGAGACAAGATTGATCTTTGTTTTCTTGGCAAAAGGTACGCTTACACAAAGGATAATATGCGTAACTTTTGAGTAAAGATTGCTTAATTAATGCATCAGAACCAGATCTCCAGACTCCAGATTTGAGAAAATATTTAAATGATTGATAATGATTATTATCTTACCAAAGGCGATTTAATGAATATTTACACCAAATAAGTTCTTTAAATTAATCCTTAAATATTCTATAGAAATATAAAATACTCCAACGAACACTTTTCAAAACCGAAATCAAATCATAGATAATTTATTAAACTTGCATCCTACTTAACCTCACTATTATATACGTATATATAGAAAATCTTCGATTAGTCAATTGGATTTATGAAGGATCTAAAGTTTTAGAAGTTAAGGGTAGTAATTTAGACTTAAGCAAATATTGTGTAAAACATTAAACGTTTAGTCAAAGCTAATGAAATCATTGTCTAGCGGCTTAATGCTTACGACATGCATTCAGCCGCTAGACAATGAGGCATCTGTTTCGCAAAGTTGACGTTTGTACCGTTTCGAATAATAGGAAGTGATGCAGTGTGCTGCACGCATCGAATATCGAGAAGGACGCAATGTAGCATACAAAGTTTATCATCGATCTCATCAAAGGGACCGCTCCCATAAACCCTTCCACGTGATACCCATAACGCAGTGAACGCTTTCTTCCAATTGTTTCTATGAACGCCGCATGGAAATGAGCAATTTAAAGCGACATGGTCTAGACCTATGCACTTTATAGCGCAACCGGTCTGGCTTGCAATACGTTCTTGCAAATCAAGTTGACTAGTGTTACAAACTTATAAATATATTATTATACTAGTGGACGCCCGCGACTTCGTCCGCGTGGAAGTCGGTATCCCGTGGGAGTGAGAAGTTTTCCCAGTAAAAAGTACCCTATGTGTTATTCTGATGTATAACCTATATTGCTGTAAAGTTTTATCCAAATCCGTCCAGTAGTTTTTTCGTGAAAGAGTAACAAACATCCATACATCCATACTTACAAACTTTCGCCTTTATAATATTAATAGGATTTGTTCAATTTTGCATTCCCAATGCTATTCTGAAAAATATTTTCAATAAAAATGCTTAAAAAATATGTTTTCCGCTGTTAGGGTACGCTCAAATATACGTTCTGTAGTAGCTAAAAAGTAACAAGTGCTTGAAAAATTCGTTGGTCCTGTTGGGTCCTGGCTAGCTCAGTGGTTAGACCAGTCGCCTACATTGCGAAAGGTCATGGATTCGAGTCCCATCTCAGAATGCTAGGGACTAAGTGGCATTTTTCATTAAGATTATAATTATATCATCTACGCAAACATTAAGATCATGCCAACTAATATTTATGGCTTTATCAATAAAGTAACGGTTTGCATAATTATCATCGTTATCGTAAAAGTTATTATAGTAAATTTATTTTCCTTGTTACACAGGTTCCCTTTCGATGTCAGTCGGCGTAGGAGTCGGTTGTGGCTCATCGAATCCCCTAGACTGGACCGGTCAAGTGACGGTCCGTAAGAAACGCAAACCATACTCGAAATTCCAAACATTGGAATTAGAGAAGGAGTTTCTATTCAACGCGTACGTATCAAAACAGAAGAGGTGGGAGCTCGCGCGGAATCTGAATTTGACAGAGAGACAAGTGAAAATATGGTTCCAGAACAGACGAATGAAGAATAAGAAGAATTCACAGCGGCAAGCGGCGCAAGCGGCGCAGAACAATAACAATAACTCGAACGCCAATAACCACAACCACCACGGCGGCCACCATCACGCACCGCACCACGTGGCGCTGCACCACGCCGCTCCAGCCAAGCACCATCAGTGACCCGCGCCTTTCTCTGGGACTTATCCCCTTCACCACGGTATAGCCAGCTAAATCGAAGGAAAGTTCCAAAGGACTAATGTGATGTGGTCGTACTTAAAGGTTTTAGGGTGTTTTAACGTCCCGTCGTCATCCGATCTATAATTGAATCGTATGTCGCTATACCGTCTCGTACGTAAACTGGACGCTTTGCGCCTCGAGTCCCAGAGAATCTCATAGTAAGATAAAATTGTGTTGTCGATTTGTGTATAGTATTAATTACAAAAATTATGTTCTGTAATTTTAACGAGACTAAGTACATGAGTAGATAACGATTCCTGATATTAATAATGTCTAGTATAGCGCTGATTATGTATTTGAAATTTATATATGAACGAATTACGAATATATATAAAGACGTCACCGATGAATCATAGTTTCTAGATAGTTTATTAAAAATAAATTTTGTAAAATATTTTTGTGAGACTGCTTATTGTTGTATTCGTATCGCTGTTCGAAAGGGTGATTAGTCTTTAATCAGTTAATTTTTATTTTCGTTACCAAATTGTTGAATTACTCGGGTTGCTTTGGTGGCAGTTATAGATATCCATTGTCGAGTTGTACGATATATAGACACTAATTATAGATAACGGCAGCCATTATAGCTAATATATACCTATCGCTATCATCGACGCATCACATCCTATTAAATATTCCAGTAATAAGCAGAATATCCACATTATGATCAAATATTTATTACTGTTTAATTTCTTATATCATAATTCGTAAATTTTGTTATATAAATTATGGATTTCTGACAAAGCTTTAACTCGGTTCCAGTAGAATTATACAATAAGTTACTGTTATGACATTTTTTTTTTTAATATTGAAGTTGATGTTATAATCAATTAATTAGGTATTATGGGCAAGTGCATTAATATTGTCCTCTATTGGTTCATTGTACTGTTCGCTTTAGCCTGTCCTATTACTTTTATTTTGTTTTAGTTGAATATTTTATTATTTATTTATACACAGAATGTAACTGTAATATATAAAGTAGTTGTATCATTCTCTACATCGAACTAATTGATTTTAATTAAGCGTATGTAAAATTTTATAAAATCCATTTTATTTGTAGTGATCAGAGTTACTCATCCCAGTTTTAGGATATCCATTTTGTAATATTTAGCAACCTTCATCTTTCCTATTTTATGATATTATTATATCTATGTAATAAATGTTTTATTGTAATTAAAGTTAGTAGTTCAATCGGATCTAATTCATTAAATCTGTATTGTCCCGTAATTTTATATAGTGAATAATTAGATGTTTTTGTACAAGTGGCGACCTCGTCTAGGTAACCGAATTTCTGTATTATTGCAAAGCATCTAATAATAAACAATATAAACGTAGTTGATCGAAGTTTAAATTTAGAGAGATTTCATATTATCAAACCGTTTTCATAAAGTAATATTGGCTTATAAAATATAGAAAATACGATGCATTTTCCATTAAAACATTATATGAGTATCAAAGCACGTAATTATTTCAAAATAAATAGAAATTAATTGGCAAAGTACTTAGTGATGAAATTTCTGTCCTATTATTCAAATTTGAATAGTATCTTTGCACAAACAGATTTTTAAGTAAAAAAAAGTATTTCTTTTTCAATTGGAACTGTATATTGCCGATTTCAGGAGACATTACTATAGAACCATACCTAAATATATTAATGTAATAATTAAAGGTCTCGTAATTATTATTGTACAGTTAAATTAATGTAGTTAATCACGCCAGAAAAATGTGAGTTTTTGTTAAGTATAATGTATAATTAAAATGAATGTGCTCTCGACAGTTTTATGACGAATTTAGAAAAGAATGTATGAAAGGGGAAAAAAATTAAATACTTCGTCGTGTCTGGGCTAATTTTTTTTATAACCCTGCCTTATTTTGGTGACTCAAATTTTATATGGATATTATTTAGGAAATTGTTTAATGTTTCATCAATATTCTACATTTGTTCTTCATATAAAAACTTGCTTTACGACATTCATCTGCTCAACTTGGTCATGAATGTAAAGCTAATAATTTAAAACAAAATTTTCTCGATTTATTACACAATTAGTAACTTTTTTATCTTTATTTACTTACAGTTGTGCATGTCATACTTTATGATAATACATAACTTTCTTTGGTGCACTCAACATTCCATGAGTTAAGAAGGTTTTTTAACAAACAATACTCCTACTACAATCAATATAATTACTTAAATGACCATTTATTAACAGTAGAAAAAGTCCAACTATTTTTGCGTGATAAACGTTTTAAAACCAGTTTATTCGAAGCAGCTTGAGTATGGGCATGCATTCCAGAAGCGGCCTTTGTATTTGAACGAAGATTCGGACTATGTAAAGCATTCAAATGTTGGACTTCACAGTGCCAAACTCTGCAGGACAATTTCAGACTTTTTGATCTTCAGTCTCCTTGGTCTAGAGCTAGACTCTAACAAGATTGACCGATGTTGGTCGTCTTAAAATTAAGGAATAATAGTAACAGTCTAACAATACTAGATTGGTAGGATAAATATAACTGAAAGAGTTAAGGTTATAGATGAGACCAAGAAAAAATTATGTAAATCAAAAGCAGTTATACATTGTTAAGTGACGCTTACGACATGCATTTATCTGCTAGACAATGAAGTATCTATTTCACAATGTCAACTACTACGCAACACGAGTACCCTTTTGAATAATAGGAAGTGATGTAGTGTGTTGCATGCATCGAATATCGAGAAGGTCGCAACCTAGTATACAAAGATTATCATCGGTGATCTCATCAAAGGAACCGCTCGCATAAACCCCTCGGCGTGTTATTTCTAACGCACCGTACGCTTGCTTCCAATTGCTTCTATGAACACCGCATGGAAATGGCAAATTTAAAGCGAAACGTCCAGAGATCTATAATGCATTTCATAATACAACTGGACTGGCCTGTAATACATTAGGAGCTTAATAATATCTTCGAAAACAAAGTGGATCCTATATTAATGATTCCGTTAGAAGTATCGTCCTAATTGATATTTGTAGTTTCATTAATATTAAAGTAGACAAGAACTATTTACCCGTGTAAATGTAATTCTATCTTGGTCAATTACTACTTTGAAAAAATACAAAATTAACTACAACTAAAAAAAACCACGTGTACCTACTGTGTAAAATTTGATATTGAAGTTTCATATTAATTATGGTTTTATCAGAGAAATAAAACCAGAAATGATCAAAGCAACATGTTTCAAACTTGGCATAATGTCATCTATTATTGGGAACAAGTCCAACAGACTACTTCTTGTGGAAATTTGAAAAAAAAAGAAGCAATAGATGAGCTAGGAGAATGTTTAATAAAGACATCGCACGAAGATATTCTGCCTAAATGATACGGGTAGGGAAGAGTGGGCTAAAAGTAACGTTTTTGACAAATACTTCCATTAGAAAAATAAGTAGGTACTACGAGTAGGTCTAGAAATTGTGGTTTATTAAAAGTCAAATTTAGTGCGTTATATCAATTTACCTATAGATTTTGTATTACATCTTTAATAGAGTTTAAGGAAATTTGATATTTTTGAATAGCGGCAAGAGGCCCCACCAATCCTAATCTGGGGTTAATTGTGCAGCGATTGAGGTTGTGCCGTTCATAAATAAAAGGTTTAATAAAATAAAATAAATTTTGGATTAAAAAGACTCGAATTATTTTACTTCAGAGTTTCTTTTACGTGTTTTGTTAGTTCTAGATAATCAATAATGTGCTTTAGGCAATGGTCTTATTAACTCTTTGGCTATATCTCCTACTGAACTTAATTGATCCGTCAAAATAAAGTCCCAAATTCATTCGTCAGATTGACTGGTAAATTATCAGCAGATCAATTAGGACTATTAAAAGATTAAACAGACCAATCATGTCCATCATGTTCTGACAAAAAACTTGATTCAGCGCATTATAATCTATACAAATAACAAACGATTTGCAAGAACTTCCAAATTAAAAACACAAAACATGCTAGCGCGAGATTAATATGTATGAACATGAAAATACGAATTCTTATGGCGCTAAAGGTCTCCTATTTAGTACATGGTTACTTGTTCGGTGATGTTGACGTTACTAAAATGGCCGCAACGTGAGCTAAACTGATAACATTATGCGAAGCAATATTCTTATATTTATGTCTACTGTTTTCAGAATGTTTGCGTTGGGACCACCTACCTCCAGCACTTTTAGTCCACTTTCACCTACCTTGAGAAACAGGAAGTACACGTCGATATCGTTTTAATAAAATACTATCACTTAGCTTAGCAACAAAACCCGCTTTTGCTAAAGGTTAGTTCTTTGTTAGCTGGTTGAGCTCAGGGTCATTCGAGGTGACTTAACGGAGCCTGAATCTTTTTACTTCCTACCTCACTTCCCGAAAACATGAAATGTACCAAATAGAATAAGCTTTCCAACCTTTCACTTCTTCTCATTTAAAGTTTAGCTCAACAATATCAGTCTTGACCTCGTTGGAAACATCCCATCACCATCTGGTCAAATCTGTGTCAATCTACTCAAATTCGAATGGATTGAAATGGATGAGAGCCCTAGAGGCGCGAGGCGAGTATGGCGAGACATGTCAGCAGACTATGATAAAATACTGCACTTGTTTGTATTTTATCCTTGGCAGCGGGTATGCTTCTTTTCTGCTGTGTACTTGAGCTACTGGGGAACCATATGCTTGACATTTTCCTGTACTAAAACAAGCTTGTTCCGTCTCTCTCCCGGAAAGTTCTAAAATCCTGGAAAGGGCATTGAATAGCAAATTGCTGACTTATTTTGAGCATGACGATCTTCCACAAATATGAATTCTGCTTTAGGCGTTCCCTGGGGTTCTTCTACTGTATGTCACATACTGTTGGGGCAAAGCTACCGGATAGCACGGGGCAGTACTGGTCGAGTAACTTGATATTTCATGAGCTGATAGGTTTTGGCAGGCATGTTTGCTGAGTAAACTTCTAGCTTATGGAACCCCGGTAGTTTTTACTGCTGGAAATCTGAGCCCTACCTCTGGGTAATATCTGTTCTTGTGACGAACAGCCTTGAGCTCGCTAGTGTGAAGTTAACTGCCAACCTGAAGCTTAGCAATTATTTCTAGTTTAATGTAAACTCATACCGGAATAACTTTAACCTCTCTATAAGATATAGTTTCGGTCGTACGAGTACTGGGTTTCTTGCCCGTTCTTCTCGTTATAAGGTCTCCCGCCGTCGGAATCGATGTTATAGAATTTCGACTACAACAAGTGTTTGTAACAGCCATGATTGAATAAATGGTTTTACTTGGATTTGATATGAAGTACATAAGCATCCCTGAGATGGCTTAGCTAAGTATCAGCACAATACTCGGTAGAAAACAAAGCCAAGAGACTTAGTGGCGACGAAAGGCGGATTGGTGGAATCCATCATAGCCCATCCCGCCTTCGCAATTTTACCATCGGCAATAGACGCATGATGGGATACCGTGCTTATTTGATATATATTCTGAGTCACAACACAAAGCACTATTTAACATCTTTTTTAGTACTCACTGCCATTGAGTGGAATTCCTTGTCAGCGTCTAGACTCGTATTCCTAAATACCACCAACTTAGTTTAGTTTCTATTCAACCTATTCATATCATTGTTAACTGCCAATCATAATCGAGGTTTCCGGAGAATCTTTCTGATTCTGAAAGAAAGCAAAGTACAGTCTATAGCACATTGGGTTATACAAAACTTCCAAATTTGCCCACCTGATTTTAAACGTTAATACATTGATTGTAGAGGTCAAAATCCATTCAGGAAATTTGACACATTGTGGAAACCTGACGTGCAGCGGTGTATACCTGATACCTAATTAATAAAATAACAAAAAAAAAAAACTATCAAGCATTTGATACGTTTTCTGAATCAGAGTATTTAAAAATACGATTAATATAAATGTCACTATACTCCATTCATTATAGCATTAGACAGAAGTTAAATAAGGTTCTTTTTATGGTATATTTTGTAACAAAATTTCAACAATCATGTTACTCTTAAGATTAATTGCTTATTTGCTACACATCCACTTTAATATCAGCTGCTATACTAAACCGTTGTCGTTTTTAATTGAATTAAACAAATTTATGAGTATTTGACTAACTTAAAAGATTTAATAAATATTACAATAAAAAGTGTTAATCTTAAAGAACGTAAAGAAGCAGGGTTGGACAGTTTCGGCACGATTTTCATATCACTATAATTCTACCAAATTTAAAACGTTGCATAATCCCTTAAAAAGTTTCGGCAATACAGCTTTTTAATTCTGTCAGATTATGATGTATTCATAATAGTCAAAATACGTAATCTGGGATTGTCATTCATTGTGAATGCTACTGTATTGCCTTTCTTTTGTTTTGCCGTTTTCCGTGATTGAGTTGTTATTGTTGTTTTCTTATAGTTTTGTCTTTATTGTTATCTTTTTGTTGTTAAGTTTTGCTAAATATGGACGATTCCGGAGCAGGTCCAAGTGGCCTACAACAATTACCTTTGGAATTTTTTCGAATGTCTTAATCAAAAGTCTAATAATATCTGAATAAATGTTATAAAAGTAATACTAAAAATTACAATTTATTTACCTTTCTTTCCTGGGCATAGATACTCGTATAACTAAATTACAATAGGGATGACGACTGGGTAAAAAAAATGCAATTCTATTTAGTCCGTCAGTCAGATAATAGAAAAATATTAGATACCTACGTATTTTTTTTTTACTTCACATTAATAAGAAATAGCTTAGATAACAGGCATTAAAGTTGAGGAGTGGGGGCTCGCTACGTCACAGTTGAGTAGAAAACGTACTCTAACGTGACGTCATGCGAA